TGTTAGGTCCATACCATTTCTGTCCTTTATTGAGCCCATCTTTGCATGAAATGTTCCCTTGGTATCTCGAATATTCTTGAAGAGATCTCTAGTCTTTCCCATTCTATTGTTTTCCTCTATTTCTTTGCACTGATCACTGAGGAAGGCTTTCTTATCTCTCCTTGCTATTCTTTGGAACTCTGCATTCAAATGGTTATATCTTTTCTTTTCTCCTTTGCCTTTTGCTTCTCTTCTATTCACAGCTTTTTAAGGCCTCTCAGACAACCATTTTGCCTTTTTGCATTTCTTTTTCTTGGGGATGGTCTTGATCATTGCCTCCTGTACAATGTCACGAAGCTCTGTCCAAAGCTCTTCAGGCACTCTGTCTATCAGATCTAATCCCTTGAATCTATTTGTCACTTCCACTGTATAATCATAAGGGATCTGGTTTAGGTCATACCTGAATGGTCTAGTGGTTTTTCCATACTTTCTTCAATTTAAGTCTGAATTTGGCAATAAGGAGTTTATGATCCAAGCCACAGTCAGCTCCCAGTCTTGTTTTTGCTGACTGTATGGAGATGGCAAGAGTGAATATCAACATTTTAGGAATCTGCAAACTAAAATGGACTGAAATGGGTAAATTTAACTAAGATGACCATTATATCTACTACTGTGGGCAAGAATCCCTTAGAAGAAATGGAATAACCATCATAGTCAACAAAAGAGTCAAGTACAACAAATGCAGTACTTGGATGCAATCTCAAAAACGACAAAATTATCTCTGTTCGTTTCCAAGGCAAACCATTCAATATCACAGTAATCCAAGTCTATGCCTTGACCAGTAATGCTGAAGAGGCTGAAGTTGAATGCTTCTGTGAAGACCTACAAGACCATCTAGAACTAACACCCAAAAAAAGATGTCCTTTTCATTATAGGGGACTGGAATGCAAAAGTTGGAAGCCAAGAAATACCTGGAGTAACAGGCAAATTTGGCCTCAGAGTATAGAATGAAGCAAGGCAAAGGCTAACAGAGCTTTGCCAAGAGAATGCACTGGTTATAGCAAACACCCTCTTCCAACAACACAAGAGAAGACTCTATACATGGACATCACCAGATGGTCAATACCGGAATCAAATTGATTATATTCTTTGTAGCCAAAGATGGAGAAGCTCTATAGAGCCAGCAAAAACAAGACTGGGAGCTGACTGTGGCTCAGATCATGAACTCCTTATTGCCATCACCCCTAAACAACTCAGTAAAATGGGAGTGGCCAAGGACCTTACTGAAAACACCATTCTTCTCCCACGGCATGGCCCTATATGTCCAGCTGCCCTGTCTTCCAAGGCAGTTAGTCCTGCCCCCACCCTCATCTCACCATGTTCTGCCCACATTACAGCCTCAGAGGCTCTGAGCTTTCCCGTAGGGCCTCCATCATGTTCTTCTCACTGCTCCTCCTTCCTTGCAGTCCTCATTTTTGTAATCTCCCTTTCCTCATGCTGTTAGCACACCCTTCCTTTCAGTAGTCCCTCCCCAAACCACTGCTCCTCCTCCTTTCTCTAGATCCCTTCTCCATTCTCTCCGCTCCCAGATTTCTCCCCTCTACTGCATCCCTCAAACCTCATTCCAACCCAGCTCTTCCCCCACGCATCCCTAACCTGCACTTGGAGCTCCCCTCCTCAGACCAACCAGCCACCCCAGGTCTGGCTGCCCCTGCCCTGCTCCCACCATCTTCCTGCCTCCTAATTTCTGCCCTTTGGAACCTGGGCTCATGTTTTAAATCTCTCTCCTTTTAGTACAATTTTGTCTGGAGTCATGATTCTTCTCTTTCCCAGCTGTCTCCCCCCGCCCATTTATATGCTAGTTTCTTTTTAAAATGTATAAAAATAAACAAGTGTCACTTGAAACAAAACTATTAAGTAAACAGTACAGGTGGTACTTGGATATGAGATGCACCACTCATAAACTTTTAATCTTCAAGGATTGTGCTTTAAGCACCCATTGCCAGGCAAAGATGCTCACTAGAAGTTATTTATAAAATAACTTTCTGGTTTAAAATCCCATACTCTAAGAGGGAAGGACAACATACATAAAACTTCCATAGTGGTGCAGGGAGTAGGAGAGTAAAACTTAAATGGAACTCAAAAAGAAGTAAAGGGATAGAATAAGCAATGGATCTCAAACCAGGACCTCCACAGGATCTTACATTTTCATTTTGAAACTGACGGTCTACGTCTAGTGACCGGAAAGTCACAGAGATGTAGGCATACCATCATAGTGAGCTAGGGGAGGAAACTGAAGGGAAAATCAATTTCTAAACTGAAAACAAATCGGACTTCAACTAGGACTTTCAGGCTTCTGCTAAACTTTGCTCTGGGAGTGTTTCAATGCTTTCTCTTTCTGTTGGCAGAGGAGGGCTGCAGGACAGGAGGACTGGGCTGGGCTACAGCCTGTTCTTCATCCTGAGTGAATGAAGTCTTATTATATTCTCCAGCAAAGGCTGCACTACTTGTTGTGAGGCTTATGGGTAAAGTTGCCAGAGAGCAATCCAGTTATCAGCCTCAGCCCTAGTCCTCTCATGTACAGTTCTCGAAGCAAACCCTCGAACCTAGTTGGCTCTAGAAGGAGAAGCAGCCCACAAGCGAAGCCTGCAGCACGCCTTGCACTGAATCCCTTACGGGTTCGGCGAGGACACAACTCCCCAAACCACTGCTCCTCCTCCTTTCTCTAGATCCCTTCTCCATTCTCTCCGCTCCCAGATTTCTCCCCTCTACTGCATCCCTCAAACCTCATTCCAACCCAGCTCTTCCCCCACGCATCCCTAACCTGCACTTGGAGCTCCCCTCCTCAGACCAACCAGCCACCCCAGGTCTGGCTGCCCCTGCCCTGCTCCCACCATCTTCCTGCCTCCTAATTTCTGCCCTTTGGAACCTGGGCTCATGTTTTAAATCTCTCTCCTTTTAGTACAATTTTGTCTGGAGTCATGATTCTTCTCTTTCCCAGCTGTCTCCCCCCGCCCATTTATATGCTAGTTTCTTTTTAAAATGTATAAAAATAAACAAGTGTCACTTGAAACAAAACTATTAAGTAAACAGTACAGGTGGTACTTGGATATGAGATGCACCACTCATAAACTTTTAATCTTCAAGGATTGTGCTTTAAGCACCCATTGCCAGGCAAAGATGCTCACTAGAAGTTATTTATAAAATAACTTTCTGGTTTAAAATCCCATACTCTAAGAGGGAAGGACAACATACATAAAACTTCCATAGTGGTGCAGGGAGTAGGAGAGTAAAACTTAAATGGAACTCAAAAAGAAGTAAAGGGATAGAATAAGCAATGGATCTCAAACCAGGACCTCCACAGGATCTTACATTTTCATTTTGAAACTGACGGTCTACGTCTAGTGACCGGAAAGTCACAGAGATGTAGGCATACCATCATAGTGAGCTAGGGGAGGAAACTGAAGGGAAAATCAATTTCTAAACTGAAAACAAATCGGACTTCAACTAGGACTTTCAGGCTTCTGCTAAACTTTGCTCTGGGAGTGTTTCAATGCTTTCTCTTTCTGTTGGCAGAGGAGGGCTGCAGGACAGGAGGACTGGGCTGGGCTACAGCCTGTTCTTCATCCTGAGTGAATGAAGTCTTATTATATTCTCCAGCAAAGGCTGCACTACTTGTTGTGAGGCTTATGGGTAAAGTTGCCAGAGAGCAATCCAGTTATCAGCCTCAGCCCTAGTCCTCTCATGTACAGTTCTCGAAGCAAACCCTCGAACCTAGTTGGCTCTAGAAGGAGAAGCAGCCCACAAGCGAAGCCTGCAGCACGCCTTGCACTGAATCCCTTACGGGTTCGGCGAGGACACAAGCCCTGACGCCAGGCACCTGCCCTGACGGCGAGGGGGTAACATCTGGAGTCTCGGATCACCGATCCAGCCTGAGGTGGCTGTCTTTTGGAGTCTCGGGGATCCATGCCCACTTATCCATGCCTACTTGAAGGCCAGAGCGGGGAGGCCGGAGCCGGACGGCCAGAGCCAGACCTCGAGTTTCCGCCAGCCGCTCGGGAGCGCTCTGGGTGGCGCCTCCAGGCCTCCCTGCTGGGGGCGGGGCTCGCGCTGTGACGCTGCCCCTCGCCTCGCCCCGCCCCGCGCGCGTTGCCAGGGTGATCAGGTGACTCCGGGCTCTCGGCTCTCCGGGAGGTCGTGACGTCAGGCGAGCCCAGTCTCCTCACTCGCTCCTTGGCAGGTGCGGCGCCACTTGTGCGGTCTCCTCAGGTTCCAGCGGGTCCCGGCCGAACCAGTGCTCAGCGGGTTCGTAAAGAGGTGAGGCGAGGCCCGCGGTGGACCCGGGCCCAGCCAAGCTGGGACCAGGGAGGGGGTTAGGCACGGGCAGAGCCCTTCTGGGCTTTTGCGCACCCCCGAGCTCCCCAGAGGGCGCTGGGAGAGCGACGGGCTCCCGGGCGAGACGGGCGCACTCGGGCCGGAAAGCGCGCAGAGCTGGGGGAGAGGCCGGGAGCCGGCGGAGCGGTTGCAGCCTGCCTGATACACACCCCGGCGCTTCGCGGCTGCTCCTCCGGGTCCGGTCGCAGAGCGGCTGGCTGAGGCTGGGAAGATCCCGCACTGCCCGCTGGGGCCTCTGAGTGGAGGACTAAGGGGCTCCGCGTAGCGAGGAGTCGGCTGACTGAGAGCTAGGCTCGCCACACCCGGTCTCGAGGGACGTCTGCGGGAGGCGTCCGCGTCTCTTCGCCTTGAGCTGTGATTTCTAGAGCGCTGCGGGCGACCCACTCCGCGCTCAGAACCGAGCCTGCTGGGGGCGCGAGGCCGGGCGGGAGCTGGGACCAGAGGTGTTCAGAAAAGATGTTTCAATCCTGTTGAGTGCAGTTGATAGAAATGTGAATAGACCTGTTGGGGGGAGTGAAATCTGAGCGGAGCCCCAAGGGACGGGGCTAATCTCTGGCAGCTGTGGGGGTTGGAAGAGTAGGGGGACGGAAAGGGGACCTCAGGGAAAGAGACCTTGAGCTGGAAGGAAAGGAAAGACTTACTGGATTGAGTGCTAGGGCGGTTTGGGGGGGCGGAGGAGAAGTTTGGAAAGTTAAGTTAGGGCCCACTTGGAAAAACTCTTTTGAGTACTCAGCTGAGGGTTTGTGGGTGGGAGCCGTTGAAGCGTCGGCTGGATTGCGGTAGCGGGAACACTGGTATGGGGAGACTGAGGAGGCTGTTGTGACAGCCTGAAAAAAGAGATGACAACGCCTGGAACTATAATCTGTTGGGATTCTGGAAACCTTGCTTCGGAAGTGTTTGTAGGAGACAGGGATGGGGGCGTAGGCAGCCAGGTGCCAATTATCCTAGATTAAAAAAAAAAAAAATTCCTTCTTAGGGAAAAGAAGCACCCAGCTGCCTTCTCTTATCTCATTTGACCCGATCAGTTATGGCTGTTTACGGGGTTTGCCTTCCTCCATATGCATTGAGGTTGTATTGACCACAGCGCTTACCCTTTAGAGGTTTCAGAGTGTTCTACAACACCTCTTATACCTAGGGTGAAACCCAAAGTCCGCGTGATTGATAGGAGATTTAATTGGCACAGAAGTTCTTGAAGGATTATCAGTGCCCAAAACATGAATATGGGAGTATTGGGGAAGCTGAAAGGAGTTCCATGCTCTTTGTTAATTGTAGAAGAGATTCCCCCCTTCCTACCTATTACTTTGAGTTTGTGGGCTTTCCAGGTAACGCTGCATAAGTATTAATTGGCCATTTTTGTCTTAAATTCTTGAGAAATGAGAAGAAGATATTTTGCTTATTGAAGAGGAATGATTGAGTGATGTACAGTTTTTTCCAACTCTGAAATTTATTGATCCTGTGGGGAAAAAAATTAAAAAAACAAAACAAAACAGCTATCCCTTTTATATTGAATCTTCCACAAACTTCTTTTTTCTGGAGGAAGTGAAATAGCTGAAACTTCTCACCAACTTGTTTTGTATTTGTTTGACTCCAGAAAACAGAATTGAACCTCCAGGGATCCTGTAGAGTAAAAGGCAGTTGAGGGAATTGCCAAGAACTTGGCAAGGTTTGTGCATAAATGGAGAAACCAGCACAGCACCCAAGGGAGGACAAATCCAGAGTGGTGGCACCTGGGGAAAGTGAACTTCCAGTCAGATCAGCAACAACATTCTCTGTAAATGACATCTTAAGACAGGCCATTTGAGCATTGAGCAATGTGTGTTTACAACATATTTCTACTAACCTGAAGAGTTTTTCCCCTTGTGTGCTTATTCATTGGTAGGATTTGTTAGTGTTTTTTATTGGGCTCTCCAGGAGCCCCATAATATTAAGAATCTAGATTTCTGGGCCACATTTTTTAAAAAATTGTTATCAACTTTGTAAATCTCTTTGGAAATATTTGAAATGTCCAGTTAATCATGCTTTCTTTGTAAACGGTCCCCTCACCCTCCAAACACGATAATTAATAGGGATAGAGTAGGATAATCCCCTGGAGTAGGAAATGGCAATTCACTTCGGTATTCCTGTCTGGAAAATTCCATGGACAGAGGAGCCTGGTGGCCTGCAATCCATGGGATCGAAAAGAGTCAGACTGAGCACACACACAAGCAAGCACGAGGATAAGCAAATAGTTAGCTTAGAAACCCGGTTAGGGAATTATAGATAGAGAGGGAACTTCAGGGGGCTTTGGGAGACTACAGTAAGACTAATGATCACTGAAGAAAATAATGGGAAGATTCTGAGACCATGTGCGCTTGCTTGACTCATAAAGCAAAACAAGTCGCTTAGCATCAAAGCCAGATTGGTTGGCTTAACAATAAAATCAAATCTAACCTGCTTAGCAACAAAACCATGCAACAGAAGCACAAGACATGCCCCCAGACAATAAAGCAGTGGTGGCATGAGACCTACCTCCTACCCAGTGAGCTCAGTGAGTTAATGATCCCTAAAACATACTCTTTGGCCCCTAAGACATGTTCACTGCACAGTGCCCCCCAAGCAATAAAACAATAGTAGAGAATAAGGCCTACAACCTACCCAGTGGCGTCATCAAGTCAATGACCCTCAGGATGTGCTCTGTGCACACAAAAACAATCATTTATGGGAAGGTGGCTTTTCAAAATGAAAGACCCACCCACATTGTACTGAGACCTGAATAACTTTTCCAAAGTGCTCTGACAGTCCTGGCCTGATCAAATAGGGACAAGGAAACATGCCTGCTCTACCTAATGGAAGAACCGATCATGGAAGTGTGACACTACTCAAGAAAGACAAAGATCTTCTCCCCCACCCCTCTCTCTGATTATAAAAATGTAATCCACTGAGTACTCAGGGCAGTGCAACACTTGCCTGCCTGCTTGTAAACCTTACAAGCATCTTGTTCTAGTAAATCTCATCTGCAACTTTGCCTCTTGCTAAATTCTTTTCTGTGCTGAGGCATAAAAGACTGGGAGCTCTTTGGAGGCCCCTGAGACGACACCCAACGGTTTCATAACTGTGTGTTGTCAGGGCAATTAAGTAGGCCAAGAGTTTTGGGAAATTTTCCGCTTTCATTCACCCTTGCTACCTCCACAAGTTTCCGACTGGTAGAGAATTTAAGACTTCGATAGGAAGAAAAAATAGTGTTTCCCTAAACATAGGCTATGATAAACACCAGGGCTGGTTGTTCTGTTGAAGAACAGAAATAACCTCCTTTAAGGGAAACTGGGCCCACATGAGAGGCAGGGCTAGGGTATGAGCCAGAGACCCCCTTGGAACCTTCTAGGCCTGTGCCTTTGTCACCCAACAGCAGGCCCTTCTTTCCTGGCTGGAAACATTCCTCGCCCTTGAAATGGGGTAGTGAGCAGTGCTGTCTTCACCGAGTTTCTGAAAGAGTATTCATAGGACGTTTATATGAAATTTGAGCTCCTCCAAAGCAAATATTTTAATTGTTGGATGAATGGTATTTTTTTCAGATACCATGAAATAAAAAAAAAAGAGGTGGACATTCTGAATTAGGGTTAGGGCTTCATTGAGCACCCTAAGGCTTTTTTGGTTTTGTTTCCTGGTATATTTGGGTTTGGTCACCAATAAACCAATAGTGTGATCTGGAGGCCTAAAGGTAAGTTCATGTTTGCATTTCATATGTAAATAAGTTCAGACTGTTTTACATTTTATCCAGCTGGTTTAGTGCCTGGAGTAAGCCTAGGAGCCTCTTGGGCTTTTGATCCAGTATCCTTTCAACCCAGAAGGAGTTAGTTATTAAGCTCTTCAGAGACTGAAGTGAGCAATAATGCTCACTAAATTGAATGAGGAGTGAAATAGTCACGTTTTAAAATTCCCCTCTCCTACTTTGTCTCTCTGCCAGTCCTTGGTCAGGTAGGGATTCAGATGCTTGCAGAAGCATCCAGGGACCCTACAGAACTACAACATCCATCTCTTAGACTTGTGGCATAGTTATCACAGGAGGGAAGTTGCTGACAGGAGAGGCTTCCGGTTTTTCTCATGCTGAATCGAAAGCTGTGTTCTAGGCCTCCAGCCTCCTCACACTTGACCAAGGCTACTTATTGACTTGGCTGTAAAATGGGAGTCAGCAATTAAAACCCAGCAGTCTAGAAGCAAGGGGACTGGGCATGAGTTGACCCTCCAGGCTCCGACCAAAAAGGTTCACGCCATCTTGGGCACTGTATATAAAGGGCTCTTCAAAAAGAAGTGAACTTAGAATGACTTCTTTTGTAGTTTTTCAGAGGCATATGTGGAATATTATTGCAGAATCCACCTGCAATGTGGGAGACCTGGGTTCGATCCCTGGGTTGGGAAGATCCCCTGGAGAAGGGAACGGCTACCCACTACAGTATTCTGGCCTGGAGAATTCCATGGACTGTGTAGTCCATGGGGTTCCAAGGAGTTGGACACGACTGAGCGACTTTCACTGTGGTGTGTGGAATGTTAGTACTTATTTAGGCCTCAGAATCAGAGCTGGGAAACTGAATGGGCCCTCCCTTCTAAAGCAAGAGAGATAAATGCTTTGAATCCAGTCTCTGTGGGCAGCAAGTCTTTACGTTTTTGCCAAAAATAAGGGATAGTGTCTATTTTTCTGAACCTTTCGATTATAGTGTCGACTTAAAATTCACAACTTAAAGTTGAGTGTTATTCGGTGGGAATTTTGAGGACTTTTAAGCCCAGAAGACAGCTTCAGAAGTAATCCTGAGAAAATTGCTCCAAGGAGATGAGAAGGGGAGCCAGGTTATATAGAAATTTTGCAACAAAAGGCAAGTAGTCTGAACATCAAAAGGTTATTGTTATTTAAAGAAAACCAGATAACCCAAGTTAAGGAATTTATCTAT